GCCATCTGGGGAGTGAGCCAGCAGATGGAAGACCTCTCTCTCTCCTCTCCACTCTCTGCAAGTCTGCCTTTAAAATAAATAAGTAATAATCTTTAAAGGAGGAGGAGGCAAAAGAGAAGGAAGAGAATAAAGTACAGTGGTACATTTCAAAACAATGGGCTTCTGCCTTCCCAGGCCAGAAGCACGAGGGGGCTTCTCTCCCACACTTACTTTGAGAACCTGGCCAAGCCTCCAGAGCTTAAATTCACACATGCGTGCTGCCCTCTCCCCTCTCCAACCGACCAGCTCCCCTGGGGCGTTTAACCCTGTCTTGTGCACACCTGGCTTCCAGACATTCATCAATTACAGTTTATGTTTTCCTGCAGTGGCAGCGGCTCCCCCGGAGGCTGGGTACCAGGATGTTGTACCTCTCCCTGTACACACATCTGCCTCTCCAGTTTGGGAAGCAGTGCTTTATTGCCCTTTTATGTATCTAAAAAGAGCTGCTGATTCTTTGTTAGGACAGCGTGGTGACCTCCAAGCTCCCTATGTGCAATCCAGAGCTTGGACTCTTATTTTTAAATCCATTCAGCCACACTGTCTCTTGATTGTGGAGATTCATTTACATTTAAAGTAATTATATGAGGCCGGCACTGTGGTGCACGGGGTTAAGCCACAGTCTGCAGTGCCAGCATCCCATATGGGCGCCAATTCAAGTCCCATCTGCTCCACTTCTGATCTAGCTCCCTGCTAATGCACCTGGGAAAGCAGCAGGGGATGGCCCAGTGCTTGGGTCCCTGCACCTGCGTGGGAGACCCAGAAGAAGCTCCTGGCTCCAGACTTCGGTCTGGCCCAGCCCTGGCCGTTGTGGCCATTTAAGGTGTGAACCAGCGGATGGAAGACTTCTCTCTCTGCCTCTCCCTCTCCCTCTCTGTAACCCTACCTTTCAATAAATCTTAAAAAATAAATAAATAATTGCTGATAGGGAGCAACTCCTGTTGCCATTTTATGATTTCGGTCCTGTAGCTGTTCTCTCCTTTCCTTTCCGCTTCCCCTCGTGCTGCGCCGATGATTTCTCTGTGTTGATGCGCCTTCACGCGTTTCTCATTTCCTCCGGTGTACCTTTTGTGCTTGCCGTGAGGCTTACACAAACCCCCTACAGTCCTAACAGTCTACACTAGGCTGCCAACAACTTTAGTCCTATACAACTGTTCTCCTACACCCTTCACTTCATGTCAAAAATTACATCTTTGTATATTTGGTGTGTGTTAACAGCTTCATCATCACAGTTATTTTATTCTTTTCTCTTTTAAACTCTACCCAGAACTGAAGGTGATTGGCACCATGCTTATGCTGCTCTGTATCTGTGCACACATTCGCCCTGAGCAGCGAGACGCACGCTTTGGGACCACTTGTTTTGCTAACATCTTTCTGTTTCAGCCTGGGGCGTAACGTTGGCATATCTTGTAAGGCAGGTCTAGTGAAGACGAGTTCCCTCGGCTTTCGTTGGTCCTGAAGTCTTTCTTCCTCCCTCATTTTTGAAAGGCAGTTTTACATCCTTATTTGACAACCTTTTTTCATTCTTTCAGTTCTCTGACGTGATCACTACACTCTCTTCCGGCCTGCAGTTTCTGCTGAGAAATTCCGGATCATTCTATGGAAGCATCCTTCTACGGGATGACTCCCTGTTCCCCGGCTACTTCAGGGGTCTCTCTGGATCTGATGTGGACAGCTGCACTGCACGTTGCTTGGTGCGGGCCGCTCTGGTTCATCTCAGTCGTTCTTTGAGCTTGGGTTTGGACATTCACTTCCTGCCTCAAATCTGGGGAGCTCTCTGGCTCCTTTGCCCTCCTCTCCTTTAGAAACTCCTGTTCTGCACATTTTGGTTCCCTGGATGTGCCGCCCAGAAGTCCCTATGATTTCCTCACTTCCCTTCATTCTTTTTTATTTGTTCCTCTGATTTGATCACTTCAAACCGTTTCTCTTTGTGTTTGCTCTTTTACTTGATCAAATCTGCTGCTAAAATCTAGTGGATTTTTAATTCAATTATTGTATTCTTCAATTTCAGAATTTTTTTCATAGGTTCTGTTGTAGTCTTTATTCATGCATCCCATTTCTGTGGCTTAACAGACTGACTTCATCGGGGAAAACCTTCAACAACCAGCCCAGCTGGATTCTGGGGGTTTCTGAATGCCTCTGTGGGGAACTTCTCTGAGCACCTGCTTTTAATGTCCCCAAGAGGTTTCCCAGTTTCCTTTTCAGGAGTTCTTGATCTTGTGCTCCCCCTGGTGTCCATCTGCAGTACTGCAGGTTCCCTGGAACTAATCTGCAAGCTGCCCGGCCCTCCTCAAAGCTCAGTGGTCCCCATTCAAATTATGCCAGATCCTCCTCGGCACCCCAAACAAGACAAAAATCAATCCTTCAGGCAGCTCCTCCCACCCTGCCTAGGTAGCACCCCAGACCCTTCTCTTCCCTCCCTGCGCAAACCAAGCCGCAAGTTGGGAAGCCTCTCCCAGGGGCGCCTGCCGCTCAGGCTGGGCAGGTCCCCTGGTGCTGCAACCCCAGTCTTTGCTACCAGTGGCCACCACGCATCCCAGCTGTTCCAAGGTCAGTGGCACTTCAAGCTAGGCAAGAAAGCCGGGGGAGGGGCGGCAGTGTGTAAAGTGAAACAGCTCCTCCTCCCCATTTCACTGTGGCCTTTCTTGGCTGCTTGTCTGGGGTACTGAGCCTTCTGAACTTGGGTCCTACAGTGCTCCCAAAGGTATCTAGCCCATTCCTAAGTCAGTGCCTCTGTGGGGGCACAGAGGTTGGGACTTCTTATTCCACCACCTTGCTGAAGTCACTGCCTCATATTTTTATGTGACATTTCACCTAAAATGTCATCAACTTTAAGAACCCTCCTCACTTAAGAGATGTTAAGGCGGGAAAAGAAACCTGTAGCAATGGTAGGTCAGCATGTACAGTAAGATGCACCACAGCCATGTGACAACAGCCCAAGGAGGGACAAGGGCCGAGACGGGGGAGAGGAAGCTGGTGATCTTTGTGATGCCCCCAGGTCTAGAGAGGATCAGGAACTTAGGTCGCTCACTCGCTTACTCCCTCAGTGTGACAGAATCTGAAGAAGCTGATGAAGGCACTGAGTTCTGTGACAGGGATAACAGGGCCAAAACAAAGGCAGCTCACAAGGGCACAGAAACCTCAGATGGATCAACGGGCCATGGACCCCAGGAGGGTACAGAATTGCGGGGAGGGTTTGGACTTCTCCACTGTGTGGAACTGGCAAGGTTCTGAAGCCAAGGGACAGAACTCCCTCTGGCCGGAGAGGGCCCCGACTGGCCCACGGTTCACATAAACAGCACAGTCGCAAATACTTGAGCCTTTTAGTTAATCTTTCATGCTGGCCTAGTGTTCTCCATGAAGGGCGGATGTGACCCTGTCATCCACAGGTTAAAAACTCTTCATTGCCCACAGTCCAAAATGCCTCTGCGTGGCGCTGAGCGTCAAAGTCGGCCGGCCTATCTTGCCAGGCCTCTCTGCTCACACAAGTCACTACTACTACCTCAAGTACTTCCTTGTTCCCTAAAACACCGAGTTTCTCTCCTCCATCTGAAACAACCTTCTGCTTCTCTTTACCCGGTAAACATCTACTCATTCCTCAAGACAAAATTCAGTATCCTCTCTCCCCCACTTCACCACTCAAGTAAATGAACTACTCTGGATTCAAAAGCATGGACTAATTCAGCAACCCTAGCCTGTGAACCTTAGCCTACGAAAAGGGCAAATGAGATTGGCTAGGGAGTCATGTCCCAAGAGTGACACAGGTGCCTGGTACACTCATCTTCAGCCTGACTGGCAGCCGAGTCCCAAAGAGTCACAGCAGGTGTCACTCACACCAAGCATGACCGTGGGTACAGTGGGATCAGACAGACCTTGATTCAAATCAGCTCTGTTAGTAGGGCAGGCCATGGAGCCTTGCAGGATTCTCTTATGTAGAAAGTGGGGACACCTTCCAGGGTGGCATAGGACTCAAATAGCAATGCTAAGGGCGTAACTGGCCCTTGGCAGCTGTTCCATAGACGGCGGTTTTTATCATTTACTGAATCAGCCATTCAGTTGTACCATTTACAGGTGCAACTTCAGGTGACCATATGCTTACAATACTTTGTGTAGACATTCTCAAGGAGTGGGAAAACGTGTACAGAATGAAAGTGCATACAAATTGTAAAGAGAGAATTCAATTTAAGAGAATCACTGAGGAAGTCTTCCTTTGTAGTTCAAAAAAATTCCAGGGTCAGCTCCTAGCTGTCTGACAGCCTGGTTCCATGCTGTCAAATGCAGGCAATTCTTACCTCACAGGGCTGTGGTGAGAATTCACTAAGATGATGAGTGTAAAGCTCGCGTAAAGGCATATCCCTTCCCGGGCAAGAGGCAGGGCCCAAATCAGACAGCCAGGTGGTCACACTCCACCCACTGGCTACCAGTGAGGAGAGGCCTCACTCTAGCAGCTCTGGGCTCCAGCCTGACAAGAGAGGTAGAGAAGGGTCTGTCGTACTTGTTAGAGGAAAGCTGTGTGGGTGCTAAACTTCCACACGGAACATTCTAGTCTGCCACGTGCAGCCAGCTGTAACCCAGGAAAGGAAGCCAGGCCTGATGCCTGCCAAGCTGCCCCAGCCGTGGGGACTGCACAACTGCCACTCAAGGCAGGGACTCTCTTTGTGGGTCTTCGATTTCTCTTGTCTCACCCCACTCCTCCTCCCATTCCCTGCCTTTGCCATTTGTCCTAGGCATAGCATCAACCGTTCATCTGAAGTTGAAAAGGTTCTCACTTCCCACAGAGCAAACTGCCCAGGGCCAAAGCAAGAGGCCACACTGGCTCCCACCTCCAGCCAGACTCCCAGGCGGCTCCTCCAGAAGCCACCCAGGTGAGTGGAGTGGAAGGAGCAGGACAAGCAGGATGGAACTCCACCTCCTCCACACACCTGCTGCGAGACTCCACAAAGAACCTCTTTCTTCATCACATACCCTTGAGGGTGGCTGTCACAGCTGCACAAGATACAGGATGTCAACGTGGCGGGTAGAACCAACAGCACAGACTGCATACTTGATTAATGCCAGGTCCCACGTTTCCCCTTCTCCCCAAAGGCCCCGGTCTCAGCCGACTTTCCTTTGCTTTCAGAGCAGCTGTCTGTCCATCCATCCTAGACTTCAACTCCTTCCACAACGGCTGCACTGGGACAATCTCCCCGGCTTCCCACTTCCCCGAATAAGTACACAGGTCCTTTTCGTTGAAAGGTTTTACTGCCAATCTCTCTGAGGACACAGATGCGGGTCGGGATGGGGAGAATGGGTACAAACGTGGGGTAGTGTGAAGGTTGCTGGACCATGGCTCCCTGAGGGCTTCCCTGAGGCAGGACCTCAAACCTCTTCTCCAGGCCAAGGAGACCCCTCCCACTGGGAAGGCTGCTCCTTGCAGCCCGGGCATCTAGAAGCTACGTCGGGGACTGCAGGGGGAACCAGCAGGCCATGGTGTTGCACCCTAAGTGGTTCACAGTCTGGAGGACCTTCAGACGTGACCCCATCTCACAGCTACTTCCTGGGAGGCCGGGGGCTGCTGCCCTAATGGCCCAAGCATGTTCTGCGATCATCCCATTCCTTGTTCACCTCGTGCAGCAGAAGCCAGAACTGGGGCCTCTGACTCTCCAGGGCAAGAAACCTCCTGCCAAGAGGCAAGGATTGTCATTCAGAGCCCCTTTTAACACCTTCCCGGAGGCTTCACTGTAATCGGACACCATCCCCCACATGTGGGATGGAAGGGCTTGAGGTCAAGTGGCAGCGGCATACCCTAAAGATCGACTTTCTCCATTAGGTTGGGTCTCGTGCGGTCTCCCTGTCTAAATGGGACCCCCTTCAGCTGCAATCCTTGCCGGCCTGCTCGCCCAGGTGTGTTTTCTGGTGGCGGATGAGGTTGGAGCTCCGGGAGAAGTGTTTGCCACAGAGAGTGCACCGGTAGGGCTTCTCCCCACGGTGGGTCCTCTGGTGCGCCCCGAAGTTGGAGATGTCGCTGAAGGTGCGGCCGCACTCGGCGCACTCGTAAGGCCGCTCGCCTGTGTGCGTGCGGTGGTGCACGCCGAAGCTGGAGCTGTTGCTGAAGCTCTTGCCGCACTCGCAGCAGATGTAGGGCGCTGGCTCCAGGTGGGTCCGGCGGTGCACGGCCAGCGTGGCGCTCTGGCCGAAGCTCTTGCCGCAGATGTCACAGCGGTAGGGCCGCTTGCCCAGGTGATCCTGCTGGTGGGTGGTGAGGTCCGAGCGCCGCCGAAAGCTCTCCTGGCACTTGGGGCATTGGTAGTGCTTCTCCTCCAGGTGGATCCGCTCGTGCCGGATGCGGTTGGAGCTCCTGGAGAAGCTCTTGCCGCACTCGGAACACTTGTAAGGCTTCTCGCCGGTGTGGATCCGCTGGTGCATCCTCAGGTTGGAGGTGTTATTGAAGGTTTTGCCGCACTGGGCACAGGTAAAGGGCTTCCCGTCTGCCTCGGGCCGTGGGTGAGCGATAGGGCCCCCTGGCTCTCCGGCTGGGGCAGCAGCTTTCTGCCAAGGCGGCTGGGGGTGGGTTCCTTGCGGCCCCTCCGACAGGCTCTCCTCCCGAGGTGGGATCTGAGGACCCTCTGGGTCATCCACTCGCCAAGGCTTCCCCCCTTCCCCTTCCTCAGGCAGGGGTGCTTCCGGACTCTGCTCCTTCTCACTGCCCATCTCTGAACCCTGAGAACGAACACAAACGGCCAACACCTTTATTCCTGGGGCCAGGCCAGACCACAGGAAGCTTCTGCTCACTGTGGAGCCATCCGGCAGGAAGCACCTCAGTTAACACCTTCTACTTAGTCACTTTCAAGTGATAAGTTGTCATGGACATTTCAGGCTACCCAACAGAGCAAAAAAGAAGGCAGTGGCTTGGCCTGCCACTGATAGATGGTATCTGTGCGATGTAATGTCACTTCCCGACACCACTGAATGACGAGAGTCTAGGCTATATTTTGTGTGCAAGTACAGGAGCTTCCATTTGGGGATAAGTTCCTTCTGCCCAACTGTAAGTTAACTGAAACTCTTTCAACTTTAATCTCTTTGGGAGACCCTTCCTTAAAAGTATCCATGTACGTGCCTGCTTTCAAACCAAAGTGATAAAAGCTCCTATCCTTGAGGCTCCTCTCATTCACAGGGCCCAGCTGTGAATCCTCGAAGTGTTCTGCCACCCGAGCCCTCTGCAGGCACACCACGGCTGGCAACTAAAGGGTTAACATCTGGTCCCTCTGAGCCTGCTGCAGGGCCTGAGCTGTGTCCGATTGATGGTGCCTGCTCACACCACGCCCTCCCACCACACACACACACACACACGCCATAGCCATGTGCACACACCACAAATACATTCAGTCATGCTGTCACGCCAGTCACATACACCACACACAGCCACATACAAGGCCCCCCCCACCACACATATCACATATACCATCCACAGCCCTCCCAAACCTATAGCCACACACAACACAAGGCTACACACGTTATCTCATACACACATATAGTCACAGACATGGGTACACATCCATACCACACACATACAGCCTTACTCTCACACCATACACAAACCACACTGCCTCTCCCCAACCCCACACACAGAGCCGAACCCACTCACTGCCCGGCAAGGGCCTGCTTACACAGACATCAGTAAACGCCTGCGCAGCTGCACAGACTCCTTGGAGTCCCCAGAGCAGAGGACAGGGAAGTGGAAAGAAAGGAGAGTGCTGGCTTTTCCTCTGGGCCTTGCCCAGACAGTGCCACCTCAGTAGGCAGAGTGGGCTGGTGGAGATGCTGTCCCCAGGTGACACGAACAAAGGGACGAGGCAGGAAGCAAGGCCCATGTCAGGAAGATGGAAGAGTGCTAGTGCTCACTCCTTCAGGGCCCCAAGTACTTTGGGGGGGGGGGCGTTCTGGGAGAAGGGGCACTGACCACATTTAGGGCTGGGTTACAATGTGCCTCACACTCCCTTGATGATGGTGTGCAGACGACTCGGCCACGACTCCGTCCTCACTAACCCTGCGGCCCCTCCCTACGCTGTACTAGAATACACCCTCGGCAGAGTGTGGGACACCGTCCCTCGGCAGAGTGTGGGACATGTATTGTCAGCAAAGGACAGCTGCTCGGACAATTGTCCTAGGCCTGTGAAGAATACAGGAATGAATTAAGATCCTTTAAATGATCCTCTTGGGAGAGAAAAAATGTTTTAATGAAAAAAAGAGTATATGACCTCATGTAATGTAAAATGTGAAATGTGGGCAGAACCCCAACTCTTTAAGGAGCAGAAGTCAACAAACTCTTGCTGCACAGGCCCAGATAACAACTATTTGGGGCCACGGTACCTCTGCTGCCCCTATTCAACTCTGCCATTGCTTTATGAAAGCAACCACAGATAAGACAAAGGAATGAGTGTGGCTGTGTTCTAATAAAACTTTATTTAAAATAGGAGGCCTGGGCTCCTGGGTTCATCCTGGCCCAGCCCTAAATGTTTCAACCATCTGGGAAGTGAACTGGCAGAAGGAAGGTCTTTGTGTGTCTGTGTGTGTGTGTCTGTGTGTGTGTGGTGTGTCTCAGCCCAAGCCCCAATAAATAAATCTTTTTTAAAAATACAAGGTGGTTGTGGTGCAGTAGGTTATGCCTGTAATGCCGGCATCCCATACGAACAATGGTTCAAATCCCAGCTGTTTCACTTCTGATCCGACTCCCTAATGTGCCTGGGAAAGCAGCAAAGGATGGCCCAAGTGCTTGGGCCCCTGCACCCATGTGGGAGACCCCAGATGTAGATACTGGCTGTTGCATCCATTTAGGGAGTGGACCAGCAGATGAAGGGTCTCTCTCCGTCTCTCCCTCTCTGTAACTCTGCAAATAAATCTGGAGGTGAGGGGAAAGTGAGGTTTTCTTGGTTTAAAAAAAAGATTTCAGAGTTACAACCCGCCCCCCATTCTCAGTCCCCCTGCCTACATCATGTCTCTCCTTGTGACATTTTATGTCCACTATTACTTGTCTGACTTCCCCTGCTAAAACATAAATTCAATGAGGGCCAAGATTTTTTGTTTGTTTGTTTTATTCCCCAACGTGACCCAAACTCCTAGAGCAGTGGAAGACATAAGCAGTAGGTTCTTAATAAAATTCTGTTGCCTAGGAGGAATAAAGGCAGGCAAGACCTGCCCCGGAATCCTGTGTCTAGTCCCCCTCGGCGGCGGCAGTCTCCTGATTCCCTCCCACTTTCTTCTGTAGCCACCCACAAACCTTGTGTTTACAACGCCTGGCAATTTCCACGTCTGTGTCCTCTAGTAGTTTACAGGCAACCTGAGGAAAAGGACCAGGTCAACTTAATCTCCCCTCCACAGCACAGTCTGGGTGCTGTGGGTGAATGGAGGAACGGATGTGGTTTTCATTCACTCCGGGCCCCTGCCCACCCACCTGGGGCTCCAGCATCCTCTATACACAATGGGCCACTTCCCAAACTGCTATTCTGAGAGCCTATAATTTGCCAAAGTCTGGCTCTACCCGGGGCTGAATACCGGGTCAGTGTAAGAGCAGAAAGACTGGGGATTATGATGACCACACTGGAACAGCTAATGACACAGTGTAGCGCAGCGGCCAGGAGCACCAGACACCTCCATGCAGTGCAGAAGGCTAAGTCCCAGGGGACTGGGAAAGCACCTGGGCCCTTGCCCCCACTGTGCCCACCCTTCAGTGCCTCCCACGTGACACAGGAACCAACAGCAGTTGGCACTTCCCAAGCTCACGCCGAGTGCTGACCCTGGCGCGGATCTGAATTGCCTCATATCACTTTCACACCTATCATCCTTATTTTAGAGACGAGGAAATGGAGGATCAGTGAAATTCAGGGACATGCCCAGGGCTCATAGGGAGTGGCAGACCTGGGGCCTCTGCCCACCACGCCAAAGCCAATGCTATGAAGCACTGCACTAGTATTAGCAGCCAGGAGGGAGGCAAGGAAGACAAGCAGTGCGGTGGGGTTCGGACAACAGAGGCAGAGAGATCAGTGAGTGCTCGGGGAGATCAGGGAGGGGCAGCCCCACGGAAGAGGTGGCAATGACCTGCAAGTCCCAGGACCCCGGCGCTCACTGCCCACCCACTGAGAAGTCAGCGCAGCTAAGTAGTAGAAAGACACTTGGACACCTCGTTTCAGAGACAAAGGGGCAAAGGGGCCTACTGGGCCTGTCTTCCCAGCCACTCAGTGGCATGGGGAGGAGCAGGGGTGGAAGGAGTTGAGGCAGAGGCAAAGGCACCAGGTCTAAGGAGTAAACACCAAGAAGATGGGGGCTGGGGACCTGGGTTAGAGGGAGGAGGGGGGCAGGGGGACTTGGAACGACCACCAGGAGCAAGGTGCTGAAGAACGGGGAATGGGGGAGGGAGTGTGGGGGGCGGTGCAGAGGCAGAGAGGATGGAAGGAGGAGGGTCCCGGACGCTCTGCCACCAGAGGTGTCAGAGGACCGCGGCCCCGGGGTCTGGGTGGTGTGTTTCCGGACGGGGAGCAGCTGTGTCGGAGTCCAAGGGTGCACTCTTCTGGAGGACGGGAGCTAAGTTCAGAGAGGCCGCTGGGCTAGGGGCTGGGGGCTGGAGGCTGGAGGGATGGGACCGCAAACGTACCATCAGCAGCAGAGGGGCTGGAGTGCTCCAAGGCCAACAGAAGAAGGGGCCGGAGTGGGGACGGGGACAGCAGCCAGCAACGGGAAAGGGGGGACAGGAGCAAGGGTCGGCGAGGAGGGGCCACAGGGCCCCTCTGTTTCCCGCTGCGCCCGGGAAGCAAAGCAGCAGCCTCCAACTTCTCCATGCGGGGGAAGGGGTCGTGCTCAGAGTTCCCCCGCGAAGTCGTGTCCGCCTCCCCCCTCGCTCCGGGACCTCCAGCCGAACCCGGACCCACCTCACTCCCGCCGCTCGGTCAGGGACAGCGCCGCCTCGGTGGGCCGGGGAAGGAGCCGGAGCCGGAACCCGGAAAGGATCCGCCTTCGTTCTCCAGGATTGGGTTCTGGCGCTAATTCTTCATTTCCATTGGTTGAAGTAGCTGTCACAACACACAAGACCAAGGCGAGATTGCCAATAAGCTTTGGCCTCTGGCGTGGCATGCTGGGAGTTGTAGTCCTGAGTAAGACGGTATTGGGGGAAATGTTTGGGAACTTCAGAACAGAGCTGCGGGAACCGGGTTCCGTTTTAAGTTATATTCCAGCGTCCAAGCCCAAGATGCAGGTTAGCTATTGTGGGAAATAAGCCCACCTGAGACCACCTACCCACCAAAGGATGGACTTAGAGACAGGAAGGAAACAGAGGAGGCATTTACTCACTCCCTGTCCAGAGAACGGGACCAGCAGGCGCCGCCCTCAGAAACTAAGCTCCTTTTAGCTCTGCCAGCAGAGGTCCCTTCCTCCAGGTCCTCACTGGTTGCGCAACTTGGGAGTTACAAACTGTACCCCACAAGGCGCCTCAAGCAGAGCCGGTGAAGGCGCTGAGTGGGACGGGAAGGGTGCAGTTAGCTGTTGAAACAGCAAGGATTCCGGGAGATGCTGGCATACTTTGCAAGGAGCATCCTGCAAAGGTAGCAAGTGTGCAAGGTTTGCAAAGCAAGCTGAGCAGCTGACCTGCTCTGGTCATCTCTCTATCCTGCGTGCTACTGAACCCTGGTATCATGGCTGCACTCAAGCTAAGCCTAGTCTTCTGTAAAAATACGCCATGCGGTCATTTCTCTTCCTGTCCTTGTGGGGAGTTGAAGACGATGTACAGCTAACAGCATGACCTCCAAGGGGTCACACAAAGTTTCTTCCTTGAGTTGGTTGGTGACTCTTGGAGATCCCCTAGACATCTAGGGGAGCCTGGAGTTTATAACTTAAAGAGGTGTAGAACTGGAAGGGAGTTTGAAGATAAATGACCCAAAACAAACTCCAGGCCTCCCATAGTCCCCATGCAGGGATTTTTCCAGGCCCTACCTGCATCCTGGTTAAACCCGAGAGCGATCCATCAATCCAGACACAAGAGGACCAATAACGTAGCCAGGATTGGGATTAGGGGGGAGGGGTAATTTTAGAAGACAATGTCTGAGTATGTAGGCTAACCTCAGGTTTCTCATACCTGCACCACGTTTCAGTGCAAAGAACAATGATTGCCTTCCGAGCTGGGTAGAGCAGTTCTACCTCACCATTTGGAGCACCATTTTCCTTCTCTATAAAATCCCTGGTAGATTGTTGTAAGAGTTAAATGAGCTCATAGATAGGTAGACAGATAGATGGATAGAACCCTCCACAAATGGTAACTTTTCTATTGAGTGGGGCCAGTATGAACACTGTTAGGTTTAAGATTAAGATATTCAGGAAAGGAGCCAGCTCTGTGGCCACAGCGGGTTAAAGCCTGAGGCGTCAACATCCCATATGGGCACTGGTTCATGTCCCAGCTGCTCCACTTCCAATCCAGCTCCCTGCTAATGGCCTGGGAAAGCAGTGGAGGATGACCCAAGTCCTTGGGCCCCTGCACCCGTGTGGGAGACCTAGAAGCTGATCCTGGCTCCTGGCTTCAGATTGGCTCAGCTCCAGCCATTGCAGCCATCTGGGGAGTGAACCAGTGGTTGGAAGACCTCTCTATCTCTGTCTCTCTCTCTAACTCTTTCAAATAAATAAAATAAATCTTTTTTTAAAGAAAAGATATTCAGGAAAGTATTGGTGCTGAATATCTATTAGGAAAATATGAATACCTGATATGTATTATTAGTTTATAAACTGAAAAAATACTAGAGCATAAATTCAGGAATAAAACTGTGACTTTATTATGGACTGGGTGGACTCAGAGCTATGTGGAAAACAATCCCATAATTTACTTTCTCCACCACCTCTCATTCACAGTGAAAATAACAGCATGCCAAACAGCAAATATCAAACTTTTATTTAAGAACTGTACAAAAGCAAATGAAAAAAAAATCCACACAGGCACTGTGATAGTTAATGTATCAACTTGATTGGACCACAGGGTGCCTGGATATCTGGTCACACATCATTCTGGAAGTTTCTGTGGGGTGTTTTGGGTGAGATTAACATTTACATCGGTAGGCTGAGTAAAGCAGGTGGCCCTCCCTCATATATGTGGGCTCATCCAATCAGCTGAAGAACTCAGTAGAACAAAAGACTGAGCCTCCTCTAGCTAAGTATGCTTCCTGCCCGCCTGCCTTCAGGCTGGAATAGAAACACTCTGTCTTCCTGGGTCTCCAGTCTACTGGCCTTGAACCCTGAACTATGCCTGGGATGCCCGCTCGCTGAGTCACCCCCAGGTCTTGGACTAGCCAGCCTTCATGACAAAACGTCCGAGTTCCTATGGGGAGAAGTGTATGTACCCCCCTGCAATCTGATGGTGTGTATCGCCAGAGGCCAGCTCACAGGTGTGGTAGGAGGTGAAAGTGAGTAGACTTCTCTCTGTAATCCACACCCCCCAAATCAGGTTGCTATTTCATCCTCACACCTGGTCCACCAACTTCTTATTTGAGACCAATTCTGTCTGACCTAAAAGATGGGCTGCTGCTGCAATAGGGGAGTCTTCCAGTCGCGCAGACTTGTGGGTTAAACAGCCCTGGAGTCTAGCTGGGCCGCTCTGAGTCTCGGGAGGACACTGGGAAGGCCACGGTCTCGTCTCCCCAGCCTGTTCAGGGCCACACACAGCTCCCCAGTCAGTGCTCCTGAGGCTGTTCAGGATTATGGCCCTGCATTTAAAGTTCTAGTACCTGGATATCGTCGAGAGATACGTTAGCATTGGAAACCATGCACGTTAGCTCCGGACGTCATCACACTGTGCTGTCAACAGCATCCAGAAAACAGAGGGTGGCATGCGTCACCCCTCCCCCACCCCAGTCCTGAAGAAAGAGCTCGGGGGACAATGATGCAAAGCGAGGGGACAAAGCTGGCTCTGGGGGCCGGAGGCCTGAACTGCACAAAACAAGAAAACCATCCCGGTGGGCGTCACTGAGAAGTCAGGCACCAGAGTGGGGCAGGAGGGTGCTTGTCAGTGCGCCCCTAGCAGGCTCTGTCCCCCAGGGGTCCACAGTCAGCACCTCCCCCTCAACCCAAACTGCTCCCCTGCTTTCCAGGATGTCCCCTTGCAGCGCAGTGGGGACCCTAAGTCTTCAGAGGACAGGCGGTGCTCAGCGCCGAGCCCTGGCATGACAGTGGTCGGAACAGGAACCACCAGGGGGCCTGGGCTAAGGGGCGATCCGGAATCAGATGTTGCGCCAGGAGACCCCAGGCCAGGGTGCTGGGCTGGCTTGTCATGGCAGCAGGAAATGAGGCAGAGCCCTGCCTACAAGGAAGGAGCCCTGAAGCCCTGAAGGGCCGGGCCCACGTCCGAGGGCCAGGACTCGATCATGTCCCTGAGTGGGGGCAGCTCCGGGGCGGGAGGGGGCCGCAAGGAGGGGTTCAGCTTCAGGGACACGTCGCCATTCGCGTGGCCTTTTCCTTCCGGCTTGGGGGCGAGGGACTCTTCGGACTGCAGCAGTTCGGAACAGATGATCAGAGGCGCCGTGTTCTTCCCTCCGTCGTGGAGACAAGGCTCAAAGAAAGGGCGGAGCGGGCCGGAGAAGCTGTCGGTGAAGCTGAAGATGTGCGACTTGTCAGTCACGTTGTAGAAGGCGATGACTCCCGCTTCGTAATCCAGGAAGACGCCCACGCAGCGCGGAGGCTGCTTCAAGCGGAGGGCCGTCTGCGGGGACGTGAGTGCCTCGTACTCATCCCCACGGCTCTGCCGCAGGAGCCAGTGTCCGTTGGCGGGCGAGGCGGTGACCTTGCCCTTCCTGCTCACCGACTCGCTGCACACCCCAAGGATCCACTTGGTCTTGTCTCCCACGTACACCTCCCAGTAGTGACAGCCGGCCGTGAAGTACTCGGCGCCCAGGACGCTGACGACGAAATCAAATCTCTGGGGGTTGTCGGGCAGGGGCTGCTTTCTGTCGCCAAGCCTCACGCACCTCCTGTCCTCGGACAGAACGAGCTTAGGATGTGCTGTATCCGGGTCAAGGGCCACGGCCACTGCAGGGAGCCACAGAGAGAGGTGAGGATTAGGCAGGCTGGGGCTTACGGGAGCTTTGGGATGAAAAGTAACCTCTTGGTCTGCAGTCACTGTCATTGACCCATTCTAGTTCGTGCGTCCCTCCCACACGTGGACTGGGACCAAAGAGTACTGTCCTTCAAACAACATGTCTCTGGGACAGTCCTAAACAAAAGAGGAATAGGTTCTTCGACTATGAAACAATCCTAATCCTCAAGAAGTATACTACCTTCGTCTTCGATGTTCCAAAGGAACCTCAAATAAGATCATACACCCAGCCTTGTTAGCGCCTACAGTCACACAGGATGCTTGAGTCCCAGGCTCTGCCACATGCTAGTCACGTGACCCTCTCGGAGCAGCATGCACTTCCAACCTTAGTGTCTGCATCTGTAGAGTGCGAATAAGGACAACCTGTGCTGTGGAGCTGTTGTGCAGACTCAGACAGGTCTTGACCCATCAGTGAGTGTGTGTGATGCTTATCTGTAACCTAAAAGTATTGCAACCATCACTTTTTTTTCTTTTCTTTTTTTGACAGACAGAGTGGACAGTGAGAGAGAGAGAGAGAGAAAGGTCTTCTTTTGCCACTGGTGCACCCTCCAATGGCCGCCGCGGCTGGCGTGCTGTGGCCGGCGCACCGCACTGATCTGAAGCCAGGAACCAGGTGCCTCTCCTGGTCTCCCATGCGGGTGCAGGGCCCAAGTATTTGGGCCATCCTCCACTGCACTCCCGGGCCATAGCAGAGAGCTGGCCTGGAAGAGGAGCAACCAGGACAGAATTCGGTGCCCCGATGGGGACTAGAACCTGGAGTGCCGGTGCTGCAGGCGGAGGATTAGCCTAGTGAGCCGCGGCACCGGCCACAATCACTTTTAAATGTTAATATAGAAAGACGGATTCTTCCTTAAAAAGGGTGGATGATGGCTGTCACATGAGTCTCCCTCTTTCCCCAAAGGCAGGAAGGTGTTAAAAATCCACGGAAGGCACACTTGGGTTGGTGGGAGGAAGCCAGACAGTGCCTTGAGACAGAGGCTCCTGAGTTCCCAGAACGCCAGCCAGGGTGGCCTGGAGTCCTCTTCCGTGGCCACCTCCTCCAGTCTGTTGAACAGGAGGAGACAGGAGGGTCTGGGAATCTGACATACCAATAAAAGTAATAAAAATAAATAGACCCTGTTCATTCAGCAGCAAAACACACAAACTATCTGGAAATGCTTCAAAAGAGAGACGCGCAATCCTTTAGGGTGGTCTGTACTTTGGAGGGTGTATGCCCAGCCCATTCCCTTCTTCGAGAATCTCTATCACCCTCCAACCCCCTCTCCAGAGAAAGAAGGATGCGGCAGCTGTGCAGAAAGAGACAGAGACAGTGGCTCTTGCCTGACTGTGAGACAGAACGGACTTCCCAGACCTGAAAATACAGAAGAGCCTGCAGGAAAAGACTGATGAATTTGACCACATCAAAATAAAGCACGCATGCATCTAGAAGCACCATAGGGAATTACAGTGCAACTGAAAAATAATGTGTGACCATATGACAAACAGTTCAGATATTTTAGAAAGAATCCTCAGGGCTGGCATTGTGGTACAGTAGGTTAAGCCACTGCCGGCATCCAACTTGGGTGCCAGTTTTGAGTCCTGGCTGCTCTACTTCCCATTCAGCTCCCTGCTAATGGCCTAGGAAAGCAGTGAAGGATGGACCAAGTGCTTGGGCCCCTGCATCCACATGGGAGACAAGGAAGAAGTTCCTGGCTGCTGGCTTAAGATAGGCCCAGCTCTGGCTATTGCAGCCATTTGGGGAATGAACTGGTGGATGGAAGATATCTCTTTCTTTATCTCGCTATCTCTCTCTTCTCTCTCTCTCTCTCTGCTTCTGCCTCTACCTCTTTATAACTCTGCCTTTCAAATAAATAAATAAATCTTTTGAAAAGAAAGAAAGAAAGAGAAAAAGAATCTTCACAAATCCAAAAGTAGCCCAAATAGGGCAGACACAGACAAGCCACAAAGAAACACAAATGATCCATAAACTTAAGAAAAGTCCAAAGAATCCGGGCCGGCGCTGTGGCATAGCAGGTAAAGACGCTACCTGCAGTGCCGGCATCCCGTATGGGCACTGGTTGGAGACCCGGCTGCTCCACTTCCCATCCAGCTCTCTGCTATGGCCTGGGAAAGTAGTAGAAGATGGCCCAGGTCCTTGGGCCCCTGCACCCATGAGGAAGCTCCTGGCTCCTGGCTTCGGATTGGCACAGCTCTGGCCATTGTGGCCATCTGGGGAGTGAACCAGTGAATGAAAGGCCTTTTTTTCTCTCTCTGCCTCTCCTCTCTCTGTGTGTAATTCTGACTTTCAAATAAATAAATAAATATAAAAACAGAAATGAAATAAGCAAATCTGATAAAAGGTAAAATGACAGCCTGCATTCTCAGGTGGCAGAGCCTTAAAGAGGAGAAGGTTTGCGGCGTGGAGCAACTGGGCGCGGGGAACTCACCAAAATGCAGCCGGGCTCTTCTCCAGCCTGGGGGACAGCAGAAGGCACTGTTAGAGCCGTGGAAAAACTGGGAACGCCCTCAGGGTGGGGGCCAAGCAGGAGGAAAACGCATCTCACCTGAGTTGGCTGCAGCTCTTTTCAGTTCTATGAAAGAAGAAACAAGGAGATTAGCTGTCACCGGAACTATTGGGACAAAGGGAGCCGAGTCGGTGAGGAAGTTCAAGGAATGTGGGCAACTTACTCAGCTCATTCCGGAGTTTCTCTGAAGAACAAAGAGAGTTTGACAAGTCAGAACGAGGGCTTGCACAGTGCCCTAACGCCACTGTCCCATCCCAAGCACATTCATGGATGCCCTGGAACCTCCCTCTAAGTGACGGCAACGGCAATAGCTCCCTGCTAGGGCCAGGGGTCCCCAGAGATCCAGCCGAGCATCAGCAAATCCCCATGTGCGCCAAACCCCACCTGCAGACTGAACAAATCACACATCTCACACCTACAGGGAACACAGCATACGCGTATGTAGATGTGTGTGGGTGAGGAATAAAACGCAAGTTCTTTTAAAAACTATCATGGAGTCTCGACTGGATTTTTGTTATCATGCACATTGCATCGTGCAAAATAAAACAGATGCTGTGTGTCTGCACGTTCCATTTGCTGGGGAATCCGTGTGCCTGGATCCCCCTAAGGAAGTGCCATGCGTGGGTGAGAAGAGGGGTTTCCAGACGGCTTCCCCCATGGGAGGTATACACTGCTTGGGAAAGCAGCTCCCACTTAGAGAGTAGAAAAGACACGTGCAGGGAAGAGGAGCAGGGGGTCTGGGAGCCGAGAAATCCTCAGGGCTTGGATGCCCCTCCCTTCTGCCCCAGGAAGGGAAACAGCGACAGTCAGCAAGCAGCAGAGCCGTCTGCCAAAGGAAGTCTGTAGCGTGGAGGAGGAGCAGAACTTACTGAGTGCTTTGTGGAGTCTCCCTGAAAACCAGAGAGAGAGAGAGAGAGAGGAGTGAGTGACCGAACCCTGCCCCTCATCTCATCCCTGGAGCCTGGAAGGCTCATCCCCGCCCCCGTTCCGTGATGGAAACAGTGATGACATCTCCATCAGCCCCTTATGCAGTCCCCGTCTCAGTCCCGTCTCACACATGTGGGACCCTGACGGTGCCACTTTCCCAATGAACGGACACCCTTGGTTTCTCCTTCTTCACTTCCTTTCTGTCTGGTTTCATTTCTGCCATCCATGTGAGTGTTCCCACACGTTTACAGCGCGGCACGTGGCACGCGGGCCTCCACCCCAGTGCCCTTCCACAGCCTCCTGTTTAAGGGATCTAAAGTGTAAAAGTCACTGGAGGCCCAGCACTAACTTGCTGACGTGGCTGTAGTATTCTCTATGGAAGCTCCCCGGAAGTTATACACGCTACAAATGTGGAGGTCCCAGAAGGTGTGGGGACTGTGTGTGCTTCAGGCGAGGCCTGTGGCTTCTCCAGAGGGGGTGTGGCTTGCACTTCCCCCAGGCTAGCACTGGCCCTGGCAGACAACCGAAGTCGCACACCGGAGTCCACCCCTGGGCCCTGTGCTAAGGGCTGGGCACACCAGACATGAAGCACTGGAGCAATGAGGGGCACCTGCCGCCTGCTGCTACCATGTCCACTACTAACAGCTCCATTCACCATGCCGAGGTGGACCTGGGGGCCTCTCACAACACAGACGCACAGAGCTATTGTTCCTGTCTTACAGAAGGCTGGTCACACGGCTGTCAGATTTGCCCAAGGCCATCCAGTGGCCAGGACGCAGGATTCAAACCCTACCCTGCCAGGCTTCTGAGTCAGAGGCCCTTACCATTACACTGCGCTGTTCCCTTCTGCTCTTGGGAGGAACAGCCAGGGTGTACCCCACACTTCTCCCCAGTAAGGGGAGAAAAGATGCCAGAACCACTGAACGTGGAACCATCGGAGCCAGGACCTTGTCTCCAGAAGGGTCTGGCGTGTACCCTCAGGGGCCCATGTCCTCAACTAGTGAAGGCGAAATGGCAATTCAGAAAAGCAGCTCCAAGCACTGGGATCAATTTTTTTAAAAGGCAATCAGGTAGGGAGGAGAGCAGAGCTCCGAGCAGCACAGTGGCCTCTCCAAGGCCAAGGTGGCAGACCAGGGATCTGCATCAGGGGTCACTGACTCCAAAGCCTGTGCCCTTCCACTGTGTCGCAGCACCTCCCCCAAGGCAGGGGCCTGGGGGGCCTGGGGACTCCCATGTGAGCACACAATACACTTTCCACTAACTGCAGGCTTCTATTTAAGTGACTGGTGTTGAGGCTGAGGAAGGGCCCTGTGAATTTTGGCCATGGGCATCCCCCACCCACCACCACCAATTCTGTTGCCCCTTGACATCAGAAATGAAAGTCCAGTAATATTAACTGGGGTATGCACACATATATATGAGGGGTCTTCAAAAAGTCCGTGGAAAATGTGTATCATGAAAAACCTATGCATAGATGTCAATAATTTCTGCACCAAAAGAAGCTTACTTTAAAAAAAAAAAAAAAGTATTGGAGGGGCAGTGCTGTGATGTAGCAGGTGAAACCACTGCCTGCCACACCGGCATCCATATGGGAGCTGGTTCGAATCCCAGCTTCTCCTCTTCTGATCCAGCTCCCTGTTAATGTGCCTGGGAAAGCAGAAGATGGCCCAAGTCCTTGGGTCCCTGCACCCACATGGGAGACCCAGAAGAAACTCCCGGTTCCCAGCTCCTGGCTTTGGACAGACCCAGTTCGGGCTTTGCAACCATTTGAAGAGTAAACCAGTGATGGAAATCTGTCTGCCTGTCCTTCTCGCTCTTAGTAACTCCATCTTTCAAATAAATAATATTGAAAAAAATTAAAATTTATTTATTTACTTATTTGAGAGACAGGCAGACAGAAAGAACTCCCATCTGCTGGTTTACTACTCAGATACCTACGCTGGCCTCCGGCTGGGGCCGGAGCTGGGAGCTGGGAACTCAGTCTGTGTCTCCCACATGGGTGTAAGAAATCCAGTTACTTGAGCCAGCACCACTGCCTCCCAGGGTTTGCACCAACAGGACACTGGAATCAGGAGCCATGACCGGGAGTTGAACCCAGGCACTCTGATGTGAGACCTGGGCATTCCACCCAGAGTCTTAAAATCCAGGTCAAACACCCTCTCCTAAACTTATCTTTCAATTACCCCTTTCCACAGACATTCTGAAGTACCCTGTATATGCAATGCACTGTGATTAGACTGTCAGAGAACGTGTTATTTGTTCCCTACCCCTTACTCTTGTAATTACCTTTTTCTTTAGCGTGGTCTGAGAGAAGGTTTTCTAGAGGAGGGAAGGAAAAGAAAGTGAGATTCCACGCCATTACCAGGAGGGTCTCTGTTTCCCGTTGAGTTCACCTGCCCTAAGCCCACCCACTTCCACCCACCTCCACCCGTCCTCACCCCCACTCCCCCTCACTCGGCTGGATGACAGTAAGGGGGCCCCAACCCCTCCCTGCATCCTGTCCCACACCCTCAGCACTGCAGCAGGGGAGCTTTTCTAAGCACAACCCTACAAGGAATACCTCCATCCACTGCTCTGTCACAGCTCTCGGGCTTCAGTTAGAGACTAAAGTGCTCAACAGGCTCCCCAAGACCTCACACCACCCAGCCCCCAGCACCACCCCCTCCGCTCTGCACCCTTCCAGCTCCCCACACGAGGGCTGCTGTCCACCACCATGTGCCTCGCAAGCTACGCTTTCTGTTCTGCGTGATGGCTCTCCACTCCTTCTTCCCTCCCGACTTCCGGTCCTTCGAGCCCAACAGCGCTCCTCCACTCAGACCCGGTGGGTTCCTCCTAGTTGCAGCTGTCGCAGAACTGGAGGCTTTCTCTCGTGGCACTGGATGCATTGATCACATAATTACTGCATTCCTGCAATTTCCCCAACTGGACCAAAAGTTCCAGGAGAGCAAGACTGTGTCTGCTTTTACCCCTAGAACTAGGATCGCCCCTCCAGGGGGGTCTAGGGCAAGTACTAACTGCTTATCAGTTCCTGTTGAATGAATAAAAGCTTCCCCTGTGTTCACCCTATAAAACTCCATAGCACAAGATGAAGCAATGGGCTCACAGACCAAGCTATTCCAAGCAAGAGTCAGTAAAAACTGGGAGCAACAGACTCCGACCTGACCACCTCCACCAAGCACCAAGGGCAGCGGGTGGGGGAACTCTCAGGGCCACCGTCTGGACTAGTGGGTGCTGGAGGTACAGAAATGAACCGAACAGAGCCCCATCTCCCCCACCCCCAGCCCAGGACACTTACCCACCTCCATCACCTGTTCATAGAGAAGTTTCTCTAGAGGGGAGAGAGAAAGGTCAGCTCAGATTTAGGAAGGGCCTGATGGGATTGACAGCTCGTCACAGCCAGTGTGTGACTTGTGAAAGGATTAGGTCTTCCAAGCAGCAGACGACAGAGCAGCGCTGCCTTGGGCAACTGTCTTTTGCAACCCTGAGAGCCTGTATGCCGCATGACTGTTTTTATGAGGGTTTTACCCAGGGGCTATAATTGGGCTTCCCAACTACAAGGCTGTAATTAATTTCTTAGTTAATGAGATGGCTGCCGCAGCCAGTTCTTCTCTACTGTCTCAGAAGATGAGAATTCACATCTCTGCCCAGAGGCCTTGTCGCAGGTCGGTGAATTCCCTGTGCAGTGCAAGGCCCCAGGGCACGGCTCTCCCAGTTTTCTCCCAGCCAGCTCCAGGGATCTCCAACCTACAGACAGGCATCGGCTCCATGTCCACTTGCTGCTGGTCTTCTCCCAAGCAGTCAGCATCCCACTCCCTGCCAGCTGGGACTCCCTCGGCCCTCAGTTACCTTTCGATTGTCTTTGCTTCCAGATGAGATACACGCCTGCTGTGATGAGAAGCCCCAGGACAGGAAGGATGGCAGCGAGAGCCACCTCCGAGGCAGACAGCCTTCCTGGAGATGGGGCTGCAAGAGAGATGGCCAGGGACCCCGCCCCCGGCCCCTCACCTCAGCTCGCAGGTGGCTCAGGCACCTCCCAACGCTCCCCATCGCTGCTAGGGAGAGCCCTCCAGTTGACATCGCACAGGCTCTACTCTTCTCAAAGCCAGGACAGCAAAGCTAGCTGGGACCGCTAAGGAGTGGTTCAGGTGGTCCTGCCTGCAGACCAAGGTGAGACTTGGCTCCGCACCCTGACAGCATCAGAGCCTGGGGAGCCGGGGGCTCCAGGGAAGCAAGGGTGCCCTCAGCGATCTCCTGGTGTTGGCTGCAGGCTTCTCTGGGCACTCACGCACCCCCAACCCTTCTAGTCCCCGGAGTAGCAGTCAGCTATCTGCCCGAGGGCCATCAGAGCCTTGGGCAGCAGGCCTGAAGCCTGGGCAGGAGAGAAAGGAGGGAAGAAAGAACTACAGAAAGCCCACCGTACTGGCTCTGGTTCGAGCCCCCACTGCCCTACTCCCAATCCAGCTCCCTGCTAATGCGCCTGGCGAAAGCAGCAGAAGAGGCCCAAGTGCTTGGGTCGCTGCACCCATGTGGGAGGCCCGGAAGAGACTCCTGGCTCCTAGCTTCAGCCTGGCTCAGTCCTGGCTATTGTGGCCATTTGCAGAGTGAACCAGCATTTGGAAGACCTCTCTCTCTCTGTGTCTCTCCCTCCCCCTCTTTCTGTAACTTTGCCTTTAAAATACATAAATAAAATGAAATGAAAAGCACAAACTGGGCTGTAGCACACAGAGAAGAGCACAGGTGGGTATGTGTCCTTGCCCAGTGACCGTCCTGAGCACCCAGGGCCCTGGGCCCTGCACAGCTGCCTCTGATGAAAGGGGCAGCTGCTCCTAGGACTTGGATGTCTGCCTCTCCCCTCCACCATGCTCCTGCCTGCAGGATAAGACAGTCTCAAGCTTTGCCCAAACACATGTCAAGACCCACCCGAAGCAGGCAAGCGGCTGAGCCCCTGCAAACCTGGTTTGCCTCGTCTGTAAGAGGAGCAGGAGTTCCTGTCTCCTGAGGTTTCTGGGCCATGCGAAGAGATCATCAAGGAAAGCACCTAGGGGCAGTGGCAGGAGCAAGGGAAGAAGGGAGGGGCACAGAGAGGGGGGAAAAGACCCCTCCCCCCTCTAGCCCCAAGCCCAGGCTGGCTCTTGGCTCCAAAACCACCCTTTTCTGCCAAATGACTCCCTGTTGCTAGGGCCGCTAAAAGGCTCAGTAATTCTGCTTCCAGAAATCCATTCTAATAATGAGAAAGCACTTCCCCAGCACGGGCAGAGATGTCCATTGATGTGTTGGTTACAACATGGGGGAGAATTGAAAGACATTCAGACGCCCAGAAATGGGCTTGGGTTCATGTATTCTACAGCCATGCAAGGAAGTGGGACGCAGACCCTAAAATCATGCCACAAGCAAATTAATTAAGGATGTGGGCAAAATGCTCGTGTTGTCACCCGTCGGGGAAAAGACCCCAGGCACGGGTACAAGAATACGTCCATGTAAACACAGCCACACTGGGAGATGCACACATGCACATCTTGGAAGACATCACACTGTTAGCAGCCATTCTCCCCAGTTCAAGACATCACAGGCCACCATCTGGCTTCTTTAAAACACTCTGCATTCTTTCACATTTTCTACCATACATGTGCTTTATTCTCAGAACTGAAAAAAAAATCTGAAAATATTTTAAAAATCTTTTTATCTATTTGAAAGGCAGGGTTACAGACAGAGAGAGGGAGAGACAGAAAAGGTCTCCCATCCACTGGTTCATTCCCCAAATGGCCGCAATGACTGGAGCTGGGCCGATCCAAAACCAGGAGCCAGGAGCTTCTTCTGGGTCTCCCACGAGGGTGCAGGACCCAAGCACTGCCTTCCCAGCCATAGCAGAGAGCTGGATCGGGAGAGGAGCAGCCGGGACTCGAACTGGCGCCCATATGGGATGCTGGCAGCTTAGCCTACTATATCACAGCACTGGCCCCAAACTCGAAAATTCCTTATCAGGTTTCCCCTAGGGTCCGAGTCTCCTCGGGGCCCCCAGCCCTTTTTCCGCAGCCCAGCTTGTACCTGCTATGACCATGACAGTGGTCCTCTCCTGGCCAAGGGCCACGTTGCGTACAGTGCAGGACACATTCCCCAGAGTGCTGTCCCTGATCCTGCTGGCCACTGCTGTGCGGAAGAGCCCTGCCTCGTCCGGGGAATGGACCTCCAACAGGGAGAGAAGCTTTCTGCCCTCCGGGTCTCTCCACTCGGCCCAAGGCTTCGGGAACCATCCCGCCGATCTGCACACCAGCTGGATCCACCCAGCGTCATAGCCGGTCACATGGATGTAAGGATCGGAGCCTAGGACTGAAGAGGAGATGCTGCCTGGCTGACGAGCCCAGATCCAGGCTGGCAGGCTCTTAGCGAGAGCGGGGTCCCTGCCAGAACCTCTCCCCCTCCCACCCCAGCACCCCCTCTGATGAACAAGGGCAGCTGGTTCTAAGACTGGGGTGTCTGCCTCCCCCCATCCTACCACCTCCCCATCTTGGGATAACGCAGTCTCCAACTTTCTCCTCATACATTTCAAAATCCACTCAGGGCAGTAACGACATCCCATGATTCAGACTCTTTTGGGTGCTCCGGCCCCCTTCTGAAAACGACTCTCCACCTCAAGGGACAAGGTTTGGAAAGCGTCTGTCTACCAACCACAGCCTGTTTTATAGTAGTAGGTCCACCCGCTCTTCTTAGTTTCTAAGTTCTGACCAAAAAGCCCTCACCCTGTGATCATGGGACCTGAATAAGTTAAACTAACACAGACATGAGTTTGGTTTGGTGTGGGCTTTGGTGGACTGGTTTGTTTGTTTGTTTGCTTGCTTGTTTTTAATATTGTAGCTCCTCTGAAACACCTTCTCTCTACCTTGCTGGACCTTTCACAGTTGGGGATCGAGGCCCCAGGGGCCAGCTCTTTAGGTATCCAGGACTGGCATTGTACAAAGTCCGGTTTCCTTCCTCCAAGCGATGAAGGCCTGGCCACGGTCACGGCTGACATCCATGGCCCTGGGGCAGAAGCCAAGGCTGTGCCCACGGATGCCAAGCTAAGGCGCGACGAGGAAGGTCCCGAGCAAGCTCAAGGAGGCCGCGACCGGCAGCGGACGCCCACCCCCATCCTCACCTGCAACCTGCAGGCTCACGGCGTCCTCCCGGCTCAGGTTCCCGATCCGGATGCGGCAGCGGTAGGGCCCGCGGTCCTCCAGGCGCACGTCACGGATCTGCAGAGTGACGGTTCCTTCTCGGGCGTCTCTCACCAGCGCCGTCCTGCCCCGGTACTCGGGCAGCAGCTCGTCCTCCCGGTCCTGCCCATCCCGGAACACGTGCACGGCCCCGGCGCGCCCCGGCCCGGCGGCCCGCAGCCAGCGCACCTCGTCGAATGCCACCTGGGGCCACAGCGGCAGCGGGCACAGCAGCTCGGCCGTGCCCCCGAGCGGGGCCAGGTGGTACTTGTCGGCATCTCCTGTGCGGGCGCCGACAGAGATAGTGAGAGAGAGACCGGGGGTCTGGGAGCCAGGGGTGGGGGCAGCCTGGGGAGGGCGCGGGGAGCCTTGGCAGAGCGCCTGAAAGGACTGGGGGAAGAACAGAACCCAGGAAGAAGGAAGGTCTCTGGCCAAGCCTCCTTCCTTCGGGGTCACCATTGTCAATGGTCCCAAGAGAAGAGATTAAGGCCTCCTACCTGACAGGTGCGTCGGCAACTGGAGAAAGACGAGAGTGATGAGGCAGCCAGCCAGCCAGGAGTCACAGGAAGCTGCCATTTCCCAGGGAGTGGGGACAGACACTGGGGACACCAGGAAGGTGAACCAGGTTATGAACTGGATGGAAACACACAGTCCTGGCTTCCAGGATGGGCTCCGCTCCCTCCCTCTTTCTCATACTGTGGCTGAGCCATCCTGAGACTCCGTTTCTTTATCTTTTCAAGAAATTTTATATACATATATATGTATATAGTATATATATACACATATATAGTATATATAGACATTATATGTTGCATTCTTTAATTTATTTGAAAGAGTTACAGAGAGAGAAGAAAGAGAAAGATCTTTCATCTGCTGGTTCACTCCCCAAATGGCCACATGGCTGGGGCTGGGCCAGGCCGAAACCAAGAGCTAGGAGCTTCATCTGGGTTTCCCATGAGGATGCAGGGGCCCAAGGACAAATTGCTTTCCCAGGCCATTAGCAGGGAGCTCGATTGGAAGTGGAGCAGCCGGGACTTGAGCTGATGACCTTATTGGATGCCAGCATCTCAGGCAGCGGCTTAACACCCTGTACCACAGTGCACGCCCCAACAAATAATTTTAATACATACATGGGTTCACACCTTTTTGGTTAGCATGTAAAAATTGTACATATGTATGTGGTACAGTGTGATATTTCAAGATATTTATTCAGCATTCAAAGACCAAATTATGACAGTTAAGTCATGTCCATCTAATAGTGCCTCCTTGCAGGAATGTCTCGAGGGTAGGAAGCAGGTGAGCGTCCTGGATAAGTCTACAAATGCTGTGAGTGAGAATGATGATGGAAAAGTGGTAGAACCACCACGTGTGATTTAGAAAGCAAAAGGACAAATCTAGACAAGCAAGAACTTCCAGAACCAATCAACAAACCGCAGAGTTCTGGCATCTGTGTGCACTTAGTGTCCAATGCTTCCAGCCAGACTTCACTCACATGCAGCCTGGAGCTCTTCCCGTGACAGATAACAAACCCAGGTAGTGAGAACCTCTCCATGTCATCATGAAGGCATTCATCTTGCAAACTCAAGACCTGCACTTAGGAAGACCTGGGTTTGGAGATGGCATGGTGGCATCACAGGTTAAGCCACTGCCTGCAACACCGGCATCCTCTTTGGGCACCAGTTTGAGTCCCAGTTGCTTCACTTCCCATCCAGCTCCCTGCTAATGCACCTGGAGAAAGTAGCAGAAGGGGACCCAAGTGCTTGGGCACCTGCCACCCATATGGGAGACCTGGATGTAGTTCTTAGCTCCCGGCTTCAGCCTGGCCCAGCCCTGGCTGTTGCAGTCATTTAGGAAGTGAACTAGCAGATGGAAGATTTTCTCTCTCTCTCTCTCTCTCTCTCTCTCTCAATTCTGCCTTTCAAATAATCTTAAAAAAAAAAAAGAAAGAAAGAAAGAGAAAGAAAAAGAAAGACAGACCTGGGTTCAAGTCTTAGCTCTGCTCACGTACTAGCTCTGTGTCCCTAAGAAAGTTGCATAACATCGCTGGGCATCAGGCTGCTCAATAGAAAGTGGGTCCCTACTTCACAGGTGAACAAGAGGACTTAAGGAGACCATGCACATAAAGCGCTGGCAGAGCAAGTGCGTGATAATTGTGTGGTGTTCACTGTTCCTGCACTGAAAGAGGACAGCAGCCCTGGGCAGGTGTGCACCTGTGTGCACCACAAGCGTCTCCTACCATATACCTCTTTCCTACCTACTTGCTGGGGAAATCCCCATAGCAGAAAACAGAACCCCTCGTGCCACAGCGAGCATGAAGTTTACCACACAAACGCTCTGGGGAGGGATAACGCAGCTCTCAAATCCTCCCCGCCATTTCCAGTCCAGTCCACAGAGAAGGATCTGCAGAAGGCTGCAGGCCTGGCCTCAGAAGGTCAAAGCTGGGACTTGGAGGGAGAGTGGGGATTAAACATGATGAAAGGTGCTGAAGGGCCGGCGCTGTGGCGTAGCAGGTAAATCGCTGCCTGCAGTGCCAGCATCCCATATGGGCACCAGTTTGAGTCCCAGCTGCTCCACTTCCGATCCAGCTCTCCGCTATGGCCTGGGAAAGCAGTAGAAGATGGCCCAAGTCCTTGGGCCCCTGCACCTGCGTGGGAGACCTGGAGGAAGCTTCTGGCTCCTGGCAGCCATCTGGGGAGTGAACCAGCGGATGGGAGACCTCTCTCTGCCTCTCCTCTCTCTGTGTAACTCTTTCAAGTAAATAAATCTTTAAAAAAAAAAAAAAAGTGTTGAGCACGTTGGTGTTCAGAACATCCACTTCTGTTTTTCTCATGGAGGAAAGGCTCAGTGATTTCAGCTTCTGTTTGTGTTTGTTTTTTATCAATGGTGCAAGAAATCCTGGGATGACACCATGTTGCAAATGACACCATGAACAATGGGCCATGTGACATTACGGTTACATTTGGACACAATTTTGCCACCTGTAGCCCACCACATTCCTACAAGCTACTCTGGACTGAAAAAGACTTTAAGTCAACAGAGGCGCTCTCCATTTTATCAAGGGGGTTCAAGGTAGGAGTAGGCATGGGCCCTGGATCTCCTAGAGTTGCCGCCAATCCCCCAAACCCTTCAACAGACTGCTGATTTTGAAACATGCCCTGGGGACACATGCTCAGAGTGGTCCATAGCTCCAAAGTGAAACAGGGCTACCCGAAAGCAAGCCAGGGCCCCGTAGGCCTCCATTCAGACAGCGTCTGCAGTGTGGAGTCAGCCTGGGTCAAGTCCTGGCTCTGCTCATGGCCTTCGGTCAGTTTACTTCTCCAGACCTCCCCTGTGCACACATGAAATGAAGTTGGTATTACCACCCCCCAGAAAGGGCTATAAGGAGGAGCAAGAAAATACATGTAAGATGTTTCTCCCCACACACCTGATAGAAAAGCAAACCAACGGGTGGGTGTTTGACTCAGCAGTTAAGATGTAGCTTGGGACACCTGCATTCCATATCAGCGTGCCTGTGTTCCATCCCAGCTCCTGACTCCAGTTTCCTGCTAATGCAGACCCGGGGGAGGGGGTCTCAAGTGCTTGGGTCCCTGCCACCCACATAGGAGACCCAGATGGAGTTCTGGATTCCTGGCCCTGATTGGCTATTGCAGGCATTTGAGAAGGAATAATAAATCTTTAGTGAAGAAGGAGAAGGAGGAGGAAAAGGAGGAAGAGGAGGAAGAGGAGGAGGAGGAAGAAGAGAGGGGGAGAGGGGGAGGAGAGGGGGAGGGGGAGGCAGAGGAAGAAGAAGGAGGAGAAGAAGGAGGAGAAGAACCTCAAAGTCCACTCAAAGGGGGATCATTATTCATGGATGCATTCGTACAATGGGACAAATGCAGCATTTCACAACCACCTGGCATAGCAATCCTTCATAGCACTGGGGAATTTTGGCTACATTCCAAATACTGTGCTTTTTAAAACCAAGTGTCAGTATGAGCTAATAGGAGGAAGAATACTTAGTGAAGGGCAAGAATGCAGATGCCAACAATGGCTACTTCCGGGGGGGGGGGGGGGTGTTACATGACCTCTGCGACTTTCCTTGCATGTTCCCCTTTATTTATTTATTTTTTCCAAATTTTCTACCTCACACATGTGTCACTGCGGTTATCGGAAAACAAATATATTAAAAGAAGGAGAGGAGGGATGGCCAGGAAGAGGAGGGGAAAGGGAAGAAGAAAGAGTTTGCTTTGGACAAAGACACACATGGCCCAGCAGGCAAAGGGGCAGGGCTGGAGCACACACACACACACACACACACCCGAGCTCTGTTGAACATGAGCCACGGCCACAGCTGCTCAGCAGCTGCGCCTCCGCCTCCCTCCCACGCCCCGGATCTGAGTGGAAAATTCAGAAGTGCTACCAGCTCCTCCGTTGCATATTTTCTCGCATAGATTTGAGACGCATCGGTCACCCTGCTGACCTCCAGGGATTCTTCTCCAGACCTGGATAGCCAGGATGGTTCCTTCTCCCATCATGCCCTCATCTGACACATATCAATATTGTAGTCCTCAGCGTTATGCTAATGTACGACTGAACTAACTCCACATCATAAACACATTTCTAAAACTTCACAGCGCCCCATAGGAAAAGCTCCCATATGCTGCATCTGCAGGGACACCTATGTATGTCGTCTTCAGTACCAACGGCCACCCCCAAAGCAGCTGTCATTGTCCCCTTTGCACAGGGATCAGGGAAGGCAATCACACCCACACGCCAGGGTACCTTGCAAGCAGATGTCCAGGCCCTTTCGGGGAGCAGATGGAGTGTAAGTGCGGATAAGAAGAGCAATGAGGCCTGCGGGAGCAGCTCCACGCCACGAGTTACAAAATGCACAAATGACTTCCTCACTCGGTAGAGTGATGGTCACAGAATTCCTTGATGAAGAAATTTCCCCTAATAAATGCAAAATATGATCTCACTTCCTATATTTCAATGTACATGCCACCATTGGGGGCTTTTTCTAGCCTATTTGTTGTAATGACGACTGGAAATTAGCTTAAAAAGAAGAAAAATTTGAAGTCACCTGTAATTCTTCCACTCAGCAATATTTCTTTGAATCTTTTTTCTACACACACACATATAATTTTAAAAATTAAGAACATACTATATATACTGATATCTAAACGCTTTCACCAGGAACTTTAAAAACATTTTATGTACTTACTTAATTTATTTGAAAGGCAGAGAGACAGAGAGATCTCCAACCTATTGACTCCCTCCCCAGGGTCCACAACAGCCAGGGCTGGCCCAGGTAATGCCAGGAAACCAGAACCTAACCTAGGTCTCCCACACGGGTGGCAGGGAACCAAGTACTTGAGGCATCAGCCACTGTGCACATTAGCACAGCAGCAGGGAGCTGGAATCTAGAGCAGAGCCAGGACTGAAGCTCAGGCACTCTGCTGTGGGATGCAGGTGTCTCCACCCCATGCCAAACGCTCCCCACCATCGGGCTCTGCATCATGGGTGCTTTCCAGTGCCACCAAATACTTTCCGATGACATCAGTGTTTCTTCACAGAAAAGCAAGAATTTAAAAATCGTCCCATATTGTCGTCTGTTGAGGTTGCTTTGCAATGCATTGCTGTAGTGAACACTGCCACAAGCAGTAGTGGATTGAAGGCTGGGATGAGAAGGCTTCACCCTCGGCTTGGCTTGGTTCCTAACTTGCAGTGTTGCTAGCTAAGCAAGCCACTTAAACTCTCAGTCCCTCAGTCGCCCGTCTTTGAAATGGGAAGACATTGAATTTGCACCACCAAATGTCCTCCAGAAAGGTCATATCAACTTGCCATAGCATATGAAATGGGCTTGTTTTCCCACAACCTTGTCATCCCTACATTATATCATTTTAAAAATCTTTGTCAGGGGCCGGCGCTGTGGTGTAGTGGGTAAAGCTGCTGCCTGCAGTCCCAGCTGTTCCACTTCCAATCCAGCTCTCTGCTATGTCCTGGGAAAGCAGTGGAAGATGGTCCAAGTCCTTGGGCCCCTGCACCCATGTGAGAGACAGCCCCGGCCCCCATGGATCTTTTTTAAATATGGTATCATTTAAAAAGAATTATGTCATTACATCTTAATTTGCATTTCTTTGGTCATTGGCTATTTGGACTTTTGCCGATTATCTTCCTTGTTCATTTTTCTGTTGGGGCATTGGTCTCTAAATAGCTTGCAAAAGTCTCTATATAGTAATATTTTTATGCATTTTTATGCATATTGAAAATTTTTCAAGGGCAGTTGTTTATATTTTAAGTTTGAAATACTTTAATTTTTAAAACTTCTAAATCAGAAAAGATTGCAACTGACCTTCCCAAAAGCAGTTGAAGGAGTTCCCGCCAACCTCCAGGTGATCGGTGTGAAAGCACCCTCGCTGTCACGCTAGCAATGACAGCCGTTATCATTAAGCAGTGGTCTTCACCAAACCCGCCCTTGCCATGGGTTCCCTCTGTGTTCCTTAAGTGACAGCTAAGCCTTGCCCCATTTCATCCTTTAAAATGTCCATTGAGGGGCGGCACTGTTTCGCAGCGGGTTAACGCCCTGGCCTGAAGCGCCAGCATCCCATATGGGTGCCAGTTTGAGACCCGGCTGCTCCACTTCCCATCCAGCTCTCTGCTATGGCCTGGGAAAGCAGCAGAGGATGGCCCAAGTCCTTGGGCCCCTGTGCCCGCATGGGAGACCCAGAAGAGGCTCCTGGCTTCCAGCTTAAGATCGGCACAGCTCGGACCATTGTGGCCAATTAGAGAGTGAACCATCGGATGGAAGACCTCTCTCTCTCTCTCTCTCTCTCTCTCTCTCTCTGCCTCTCCTCTCTCTGTGTAACTCTGACTTTCAAATACATAAATCTTTAAAATAAAATGTCCATCGATTATCTTTACCAAACTGAAGGACCTGGAGGAAGTTAAGGAACCGGAGGGAGTGAGGAGAGGCAAGCGGCGGGACAACTCACCACCTTTGGAGTCAGAGACCCTGGTCCCTCGCTGGCGAGCGGGAGTCTCCAAGCTGGGAAGGCAGCCTCCCCGCCATGCAGGGAGCCCAGGAGGCAGGCAGGTGTGGCAGAGAGGGCTCCGAAGCTGAGCCCCGAGAAAGCTCCTATTTTATTCTGAAGCCCAAGGCCAGGGTTTCCTTTGCCCCACAGACTCTCTTCTAGCTGTCCCTATACCACCCAACCACGCCCTGCCTGTGTGCCCTGATAAAGAAATGCAGCCAAGAGGAGGCCCCCAAAAAGCGAGGGAACCGTGGATACTACTGCGCACACGGGACCCCTGACCCCTGACCCCTTGGCCAGCGATGCTAGCTGCAAACAGGGATCCCCTTAGGTGTATTTTGACCCTATTGCTCCCTCCTACTTTTCAAATCAGAGTAATGAGGAAGATTGGTCTCAGAGACACCCTCTAATTAGCCACGTTCTTTAACTGAAGGTACCCTTATCTCCAGCTGCACCTGACTGGCCCCTTCTGACAAGCAAGCTTGCTCACTGTCCCTCAACAAGTGATAAACCCTTTCCCGCCTGTCTTGCTCCCGTAGTACTCACGACTATATTCATTATAATAGCAGAGTTGTGTGCTTAACAGTGCAGCATATACTTTCAAATTGTATCGTGAATTTTCTAAAGACGGAGCTGATTGCCCACAATTCCCTCTCATTTCCTTTCTCAACCTTCGTTTCTGAGTCCGGCACTGTGTCCCCTCTGCTCACCGTTTCAGTGTCACTGAGACTTGCAGGCAAGCTGCCAGCACGCCACGTCCCAGGCCACGAACCGCACAAACAGCGCAGCTCTGAACATTCTGGAGGACGTTGCCTGGCCCACGTCGTGGGGTGCCTCCAGAGTGGCCGTTCTTATGGTGGGGTCCACAAAATGCTGGGAGACCCCCAGACCCTTTCACGAGGCCCGCCGGTCAGGTCAAAGCTGCTTGCATAATAGCACAGACATTTCTTGACGTTTTCAAGTGCACTGCAAAGGCAATGATGGGAAAAAATGAGTGGTACCTCAGTACCATGCTCGAGTGGCACTAAACTGCAGTGAGAGTTACTAACTGAAGGAAATGCCAACTGATGGACACACAACTTCTCAACCTTCTGTGGACAAAAAGGAGGGTGCATAGGCAGCTTTGCTGCATTTCCAAGCCCGATGAATTTCCCGAGAAAAGGCACTTCAGTGACTGAGTTGCAGCATCATTCTACCTGAAAGTCGGCCCCACAAAAGGTGAGTATTCAGACTTTGGGATGTAGCAGGCATCTGCCCCAAAATGAATGAAGTGTGCTTGCCCTTCCAGAAAAACCACTGGGACTGGCGCTGTGGTGCAGTGGAGTAAGCTGCTGCTTAAAGAGGCCCATACCTGGGCCAGCGCTGTGGCGTTGCCGGTAAGCCACCGCCTGCAGTGCTGGCATCCCATATGGGTGCCGGCTCGAGTCCTGGCTGCTCCACTTCTGATCCAGCTCTCTGCTATGGCCTGGGAAAGCAACGGAAGATGACCAAAGTCCTTGGGCCCCTGCACCCACATGGGAGACCCAGAAGAAGCTCCTGGCTCCTGATTGGTGCTGCTCCAGCTGTTGTGACCATCTGGGGAGTGAACCAGCAGATGGAAGACCTCTCTCTCTCTCTCTCTCTCTCTGCCTCTGCCCCTCTGTAGCTCTGCCTTTTGAATAAATAAATCTTTTTTTTTTTTAAAGTCCATATCCCATATCTCAGTGCCCGTTTGAGCCTCGGCTGCTCAGCTTCTGATCCAGCTCCCTGCTGATGGACCTGGGAAGGCACTGGATGGTGGCTCAAGTGCTTGGGCCCTTGCCTCCCATGCGGAAGACCTAGATGGAGTTTGTGGCTCCTGTCTTCCCAGCCCCAACTGTTGTGGCCATTTAGGGAGTGAACTAGCAGATGGAAGCTCTCTCTCATCACTCTGCCTTTCTAATTATAAATAAATAAATAAATATTTTTTAAAAACTTGTGTTTGTTGCCAAAGAGAAAATTTAATATTTTGAGTGAAAGTTAGAATTTTGAAAAACTTCTGTCTGCCACTGTGAGCTTGATAGTTCCTGGTAATAAAAGATTTTTCTGTTGAGATTGGCAGCAATACGAATGAATATGATTTCTTGATGTTGTATCATGAAATGTGTCAACATTTGGAAGATCTGTGCAACTCAGAGAAGCAATAATTTCCAAATGAACAATCATGCCTTGAAAAAGTCATGTATAGGTAAATAAGACATGCAAAATGCAAGACAATGGGGCTGGGGCTATGGCTCAGCGGGTTAATGCCCTGGCTTAAAGCACTGGCATTCCATATGGGCGCCAGTTCTAGTCCCAGCTGCTCCACTTCCAATCCAGCTCTCTGCTATGGCCTGGGAAAGCAGTACAAGATGGTCCAAGTCCTTGGGCCCCTGTACCCACATGGGAGACCCAGAAGAAGCTCCTGGCTCCTGACTTCGGATCGGCGCAGCTCTGGCCATTGCTGCCATTTGGGGAGTGAACCATGGATGGAAGACCTCTGTATTTCTCTCTGCCTCTCTTCTCCCTGTGTAACTCCGACTTTCAAATAAATAAACAAATCTTTTAAAAAATGCAAGATAAACTCATGAGTTTTACTGTAACAGAGTATAACAAGTTCATTGCTATGGTTTCAGGTTCCTTGATGCAATTAATCTTTAAGAAACTACCACTTGTTGAGTTTTGGTGTTGTACTAAAGAATGTCCACAATTACCTGAACACGTTATTGAAACGTTTCTTTCCCAACTACACACACTTCAGCCAGACAACATATTGCTCCAGAGTGCAAGAAACAGACAGTATGAGAATACAGCTGTCTTCTATAAGTCAGATACTGAAAATATTTACAAAGATATGAATGTCACTCTTCTTTTTTTGTGTTTCAGAAAAGTTGTTTTTTCATAAAATTATGTTAGCTTGTAAATATGTACTATTTTCATTTTAAATGAATTATGTTTTTCTCAATTTTAATTTCTAATGTAAGAAAGTAGCAGGTGATGGCTCAGGTACTTGGGTTCCTGCTACCCACATAGGAGACTTGGATTGAGTTCCAGGCTCCTGACTTCTGCCTGGCTCAGCACTGACAGTTGTGAGTATTTGGAGATAAACCAATGGTTGGAACGTCTATCTCTGGGGGCCAGCATCGGGGGGCAGGGGGTGCAACAGGTTAAGCAGCTGCCTGCCACACTGGCATCCCATAAAAGTGCCGTTTGGAGTCCTGGCTGCTCCACTTCTGATCCAGCTCTCTGCTGATGTGCTGGGAAAGCAGCTGAAGATAGCCCAAGTGCTGGGCCCATGCCACCTATGTGGGAGACCCAGATGGAGTCCCTGGCTCCTGGTTTCAGCCTGGCCCAGCCCTGGTCATTGTGGCTGTTCAGGGAATGAATCAACAATGGAAGATATCTCTCTCTCTATGACTCTCCTTTTTTCTATATAATTCTGCCTTTCAAATAAATAAATTTTTTTAAGTCTATGCCTCCCTCCCTTTCAAATAAGTAAATAAAGAAAGCCGAAAGTTAATTTCTAATGTGGCTGATTAAGAAAATATAACCCATGGGGCTGGCGCTGTGGGGTAGTATGTGAAGCTGCCACCTGCAGTGCTGGCATCCATATGGGTGCAGGTTAGGTTCTAGCTGCTCCACTTCCAATCCAGCTCTCTGCAATAACCTGGAAAAGTAGTGGAGGGTGGCCCAAGTCTTTGGGCCCCTGCACTCACATGGGGGACCCGGAGGAAGCTCCTGGTTCCTGGCTTTGGATCGGCACAGCTCCCACTGTTGAGGCCATCTAGGGAGTGAACCAGCAGATGGAAGATCTCTCTCTCTCTCTCTCTCTCTCTCTCTGCCTCTGCCTGTCTGTAACTCTGCCTTTCAAATAAATGTTTTTTTTTAATAAAATATAACCCTCAAAATAGATCTTAGCAAAAATTAAGAGTG